TTCAAATGAATATCTTCGTTGTATGAATTCCATTTTGTATTATTAGGTCTTATTACTTATACAGGGTGGCCCATCGAAAACGTTCCGCAAGGCATAACGGCCAGAGTAATTTTTTTGTCATAAAATTCAAAAACACGTCAATTTTGTTTGTGAGGGGGCCAACTTTTGCCCCAAAAACAATTGCAAAAGCTTTTTCAAATGGGAAGGGGGATCAAATGGCGCCGCAATGAAAAGAGCTTTCTATTCTCTATATTTTCCCGCTTCGTTTTTGAAAATCGGTCGAATCATTGAGAAAATATGAAGGATTGAAATTTGAAAAGTTTATTTAAACATTTATCAGAGTAAATGATAAGGATAAATTCCTTCGACCAATTTGCTATTTTTTCTTATTATTTCTAGATGTTTACGCATTTTTTCACTTGCCACAAGGTTGAACGATCAGGTGCGGTAGTTGCTAGATAGCTGTTCTGTGACTTGTGCGTTGAAGTTCTTCTCAATAAAAATAATGAATGTGGCAATCGGATTGCGCAGATATTCAATGAACACCATCCTGACAAACACCTTTATGGCAAAATTGTTCGCGAGTGAGTAGCAAAATTTCGCGAAACTGGTTCCGTTATGAATAAAAAGAGGCAGAGGGAAAATCCTGTAGTAAATGAAGCTATGGAGGTATTCGTATTGGGCCAAGTTGCCATGGATAGTACGCTGAGTACAAGAAAATTAGCCAATGAGACCGGCGTGAATCGTACAAGTGTCCAAAGGATATTAAGAAAACACAAGTTCCACCCGTACAAAATTCAGTTGGTACAAGAACTCAACGAATACGATTTTGATCGTCGCTTGCAATTTCGTGACACTATGAGTGAACGAGTGGCGAATGATAATAATTTCCTATTTAATGTGTGCTTTTCGGATGAGTGTACTTTCTTTTTGAACGGTGTAGTTAATCGGCACAATTGTCGCTATTGGGCTGAGAACAACCCCAGGGTTTTTCACGAGGTGCACAAACAAAACCCTCAGAAATTGAACGTGTGGGCTGGTATTTTTGGAAATTCTATTGTAGGTGAGTTTAACGATATTGAGAAGAACTTCAACAGCTATCTAGCAACTACCGTACCTGATCGTTCAACCTTGTGGCAAGTGAAAAAATGCGTAAACATCTAGAAATAATAAGAAAAACAGCAAATTGGTCGAAGGAATTTATCCTTATCATTTACGTTTAAATGCTACATGTTTAAATAAACTTTTCAAATTTCAATCCTTCATATTTTCTCAATGAATCGACCGATTTTCATAAACGAGCAGGGAAATATAGAGAATAGAGAACTCTTTTTATTGCGGCGCCACTTAACCCCCTTCCCATTTGAAAAAAGTTGGGGGATGACACCCCCGCTTAGAGGGTTGAAGATTTTTGCAATAATTTTTATGGCAAAAGTTGTCTCCCTCACAAACAAAATTGACAAGTTTTTGGATTTTTTGAAAAAAAAATACCCTGGCCGTTATGCCTTGCGGAACGTTTTCGATGGGCCACCCTGTATATTGGTAGGGATTATTCTTGGAAAGTGCAATATTTTCCATAAGATTCTTTCTGTTAAATGGTTTATCATGAACAACATAGTTTAATTTTTTTTTTAGTTTTTGAAGTGAAACTTCTTTACGTTCTTATTACGTTTCGTTTGCATCTTTATCAGAGGAGTGTGACTAAGGATTTGATATTGAAGAAAAAAGTTGAAAAAAGTGTCGATTTCGGCATAATTCGGGACCGACTATAGGACGACCTGGACGACCTATTGCTTTTTCAACATTTCATACTACACTTTTTCAAACATGTCCTGCAAATCTTTCAACTTAATAGCTATTAGTCAAGAGTGTCACTTCAAATATGCGCACATAGTGCACGCACACACCATTTTAAAAATTTACAAAAATTAAAATAACTTGGGAATCCTCAACAAGTAGTAAAATTATACAGTCAGTTTGTTATGTAAACAGTATTTGAAAGTTATTTCAAAGAATAAAAATAAACAATGTCTTTTGAACGTCTGAGTATGTGTGTAGGCAATTGTTATTCTCCCCATTCTAATTATATATACTTATTGTTATTCTTGTTAGTCTTAAAAATTTATACGGTTGAGCAAATACAATATTCTTTTAGCATTAAGACGGATTATTTGTTTCTGTCAACTAGAATCACTTTTTGTCTAGTCTGACTATCCAGTTGCTTTATTAGATTTGAAATGAAAGTATAATACGTTATGGATTGCTTTTAAATCAATATGAATAATCGTATAAAGTCTGTTCAACGAGAGAAGGAAGGCTTTTTCAGACATCCAGAAGTTTACACAAAAAACAATTTACTTTTAAATTAAAACGACAGTCTATATCCCAGTCACTCTAATATATTCTTTCATTGAGACTTAAAAACTAATGTATTAACTACTATATTTTCAACTATTGCCCCTCCCCCTTAAAATCACCTCCAACAACCAAACATACATTCTAGTACATACTTTAGGCACACTTTAGGCTTGCACTTAAACAAAATTCACAAGTTTTTTATTCTAGGAGCTACAGAAGCCCGACGCACTATTGTCGGTTCCTGTGTATTCATATAATATTATGTGATAATTCCTGGGAATTACCTTAGGAATTACAGATATCTGTTGTCGTATAGTTTCTGAGATTATGCTCCTCTTTACAGATGGTATTGAAATTAAGTTGAAGAGGTAGAAATCTAAAAAAAAATGAATTACACTACACACTAAAGAAACGAAACTAGGACGGCCTCTCAACAGTAAAAGTATTTTTAGGCTAATAATTACAATAGTCAAGAAACCAGAGCAGATGTGGAACAATTTCGTTTTGTATCGATAGTATTTAAGATAAATTTCAAATTCATGAATTTGAAAACTGTTCCGAACGCCAACAGTCGTTAGAAACTAAACGGAACGTATAAATTAAGTATTTCTCTTCATATTTTATCCGGTGCGGTATCTACGCATTATATAACCGGACCGAGTTGATTGTTCCTGTTCGGCACGATTGTTCCATCTGATGTATCCGGTAACATTTTTCAACAAAATCACATTGTTTATCGTCGCCTTACACAACCACATTCTTCGCCTGTCCGTAACTTTTCACTCTTTCATATCGGCCAAATGTAAAGAACTGTCTTGGAACAATACGAAATATGTCTTTCCTTTTCGGATGTAATTTGCCTATTTCAAAAATCTATACAGGATAAAAAATAATGTCCATACATTTGTGGTTTGTTGATAACTAGAAATGCTGAGCATATTGCCAATGACACCGAAATATGCCACTGGGTTCATAATCTGTGGACACCGCCTCTTTTACACTACAGAGCCGAAATCGCTCGCTAACATTGGCGTAACTACAGGGGTGCCCTGGGGGTGCGTGAAACTAAAAACTGAAATAAAATTTGTCAAAAATTAACACTAATAATTATAGAAATATTAAAAAGGATAAAAGGAACATTTTCACACTACACCAGTTAAAAATGTTTTTTAGTCAATATAAAAATAAATTCTAACCTTCTTAAGGTCAGCTGACAGTAAGCGCCATTAGAAAATAAAGGAGGGTACGGGTTAAGTAAATGACGTCTAGGGCTTGATCTCGCCAAAATTTTCATCGATTGTCATTCGCCAACAAGTTTTCTAAAACATAGAAGATTTCTCACAGATAGGAACTTGAACTTCGGCCTTAGATACAGAATTGTGAAGTGCTATGTCTGGTCCGTTTTGTCATACGGCATTGACATTGAAAGTTGCAACGATAAACAGAATTGAAGCCTTCGAAATGTGGCCCCTACGGCGAATGCTAAGACTCTTAGCATTCTTCATACACTCTTAGCATAAGAGTGTCCTGGGTCGACCATGTGAGAAATAAAGACATTCTCAGTAGAGATAGTCTAGAAGAACGTGAACTCTTCGAAATCACCAAGAAGAGGAAAATAGCATGTTTGGTACACATACTACGCTACGTGGAGAATGCTATCCTTTTATCGTCTAATTCTGCATGGTAAAATCGAGGGAGGCAAAAGGGGAATAGGCCGAATGAAGCTATCCTGGCTGAGAAATATTTGTCATTGGACAGGCATATAGGACTTCCAAGCCGCTGCAATTAATAGAACCATCAGATGAGGAAGAAAAAGATGAACGCCTACGCAGGAATCTGCAGGGCACCTTAAGAAGAAGAAGCAATGACGCCGTTCTTTTTTCGATCATATGGTCTTTATTCTTTATGTATGTATATGTTACATATAACATATACACCAAAACATTTTACTTTTAACACCAGAGGCGCGTTTTGCTAATCATGTTAGTATCATCGGCAAATGATTAAATCTGTCCAGTTTTAATCATCTGATGCGGATGGTACTAACATGATTGAATAAATGCTCGTCCAGTGTTAAAAGTAAAGTGTTTTTGTTGTATTATTGCAAATTAGTATTTTATTTTGCTGTTGGTTCCAACCCAAAACTGTTGAGTGTTACCTTTTTTAATATTTTTACGTAGTATGTATTCTAACCTCTGCCTATGCAGGGTGAGTCTTAAATAAGTGCTAATATTTTTAGGGTTAGTATATTTCGACCCAGAAACACGATTGTGAGGTTTTTTTCTCGAAAAAAAAATCAAAATTTGGAATTTTTTTAGTTCTTAGTTAAAAATATAATTTGTCGTTAATATAGCAACATAGGTAGTAGATTAAATTTACAAGAATGAAAATCCAGAAAAGATACATTGGTTCTCAAAATTTTAGCAAAAAGTATTTTTTTTGGAAATTTTCAAAGTAAAATATCCCGGTTATTTTAGATTTATTTGAAAAACGGTAAAAGAGAAAATATTTTTTTATCGAGATCTACACAGCCATGAAAATATTTGCACTTATTTAAGACTCACCCTGTATAATATTATTTAATTACCATAGAATAAGTTTCAAAAATTAATACGAATATTTAAAAAATATCCTTCGCTCACCTGTTGTTGCCCCCCACCGAAAAACTGGCCACCGCACGCGCCCCAAAGCAGCGTCCCGACCAACACGCATAACGGACCACGCATCATCGTCTCTCTGATGACGTTTCAGATGTACCGAGCGCGATTAAACTACTGAAAATCACCGGGCAATGCGACAGATATTTACGGTAGTCCCCCGACGGTGTAAGCAGAGTGTACGTCGAGCCCTGGTCCCCCCATATCCGCCAGAGACGAAAGATGTAGAAAACGAAAGGAGATGCCGCCGACGATGATCGCGGTGATGATTTCGCTTTCTTAAGGTATACGGAAAAAAGTGAATTGGTATAGCAAAGAAGATGTAGGCAGAGCCGCTTTACCTATTTGGCAAGAAAGGCAAGTGCTTAGAGCGGCAGGCTGATGATGGCTGATTTTTTTAATGAAAACATATTGGAAAACGATTATAGTTTTTCACGTAGAATGCAGTGGCACAAAAACAACTTTAAAAGGCCGCTTATGTTAAAAAGTTAAATAATGCATTTTTTACCTTATTTATGAAAAAAAAAGGAAATTTTATTACGGTCGCGTCAGCATCTAGGAACATTTAACGACCATTATGAAAATAAGTATAGGGTATAATTTATTTTTAGAAAGCTCATAAAAAGGCAAATAAAATAAAGATACAGGCTATTCTGTTTTCTGTGTTTATTTTGTGTTAAAAAAAACATAAGTTTGACTCAATTTCGAAAATGGCAGCTTCCAGTGAAAATCAAGTTATATCACTAAATTCTAAGTGAAAGTCGCTATGGAACTCAGTGTTCATCTTTTCGATAAGTTATAAGATAACTGAGATATGAAGGAAGTCAAGAAATACAACATTGTCAATTTCGTCCGGTTTTTTAAAAACCAAAGGGGCTAAGACAAATCTGTGTGTAGAGGATCTTTAGTATCATAAAAAAGGGGGGGTTTCTATATATATCTCTATTATTTCTGTATATCTCTACTCATAAATGACCCACGCCCTGTACAGAGTGTCCGATTTTCGTGTTATAGGGAGTTATAGTAGTTATCAGTTATCTTATAACTTATCCAAAAAGATGCGATTTTCAAATCACTGTGCTACTTTTTAATGACACTAAATATGTTACACACTAGTGATGTAAAAATTCTAAGTAATCGTTACAAAGTAACAGTTACTTTACGAGGACTCGGAGTAACGCTTAGTATTTGAATTTAGGACTCGTTACTCGTTACTAAGCTAATTATTACTTTTGCGCCGGCAGTAATCGTAATCCCTGGAAATACACGAACCGAGAACTCGAAACTCGATACCGTCGATACTGAAATATTCCTTACTTCGACGTAGGTCTAGTTGTTATCAATATGTTTATGTTTAAAGTGTTGACTTGACGTCGGTCGGTGTTTTGGATGGCAAATGTGTGATATTTTTATTACAATTATTATTATTATATTATTTATCAATAGTACATAGTTTAATTTACCATATCATTATAAAAATATTATACATACTAGCGTGTACCAGCGAATTCGTTCGCGTCGAATTAATCATTTGTAATGGTGATAATAAAGCAAAGTAAGAATTTCCATTAACAAACAAACTGGATAAAATTTTCTCACATTTATGTCAGCATAAGAAAAAACAATATGGCGATATTATTATATAACTTAGGAGGTAGTTTCATCTCGTTGGAATTTGACTTTCGAAAAATCCGTATGTCAAAAATAAGCTTTTTACGTCAAGCAGTTTAAGCAGAATCGTGGTTAAGAAATTATCCAATATTTTGGAACACCCTGTATAATTTTTTAAAAAATTTCAAAATATGTAAAAAAAAACAAATAAATTATGCTTGTCCAAGCGTTTTCCCTAAAGACTAACCGTTTTTTAAATAACAAATATTGTAATATTTGAGGTTTTTAAATAAAAAATATTTTAATATTTGAAGGATAGTTTCACCCCTTTAGAATTAGAGTTTCGAAAAATCTATTCTTATCGAACCTCTACACCCTAAAGTCAATCTGTTTTCTGATTTTTCGAAACACCCTGTATACATTTTTAAAAAATCTTAAAATATGTAAAAAAACAAAATAAAATATACGTGTTTAAGCGTTTTTTCGGAAACTTGACCGTTTTTTAAATAAAAAATATTGTAATACTTGAGGGGTGGTTTCACCCTCTTGGAACTGGAATTTAGAAAAATCCCTTGTTATCGAACCTCCACACCCTAGAATCAACCTGTATGCCAAAATTGAGCTTCTTACGTTGAGTGGTTTGAGCAGGACCGTGATTAATCAGTATGTCAGTCATTTAAGAATTTTATATATTAGTATAGATAATTCGCATTCGCTATTGCGAATGATTATAAACTGACATTCGTTTTCGTTATGTCGCTACTTTGAACTACAACAGGAACAGCAAATGTATTAATTAACTGATTGCTCAAAAACAATACCTACAAACAGTGCATAAAAAAGTCATAAACCGCACTAAAACTAACAAACATAAATTTATTGACTAATGATAGTGATGCGATTAACCATGGTAATGGATGAGCTTCAAATATTAATAATACCTGTAATTATATTTTATCGCTCATTTAACACTATTAAATTTAAAAGATTTAAAAAATAGTAATAGAATTAGCAGCTTCCAAAAACTTCTAAAGATATGTTTTCATTTTTGATTTCATCAGCAAAAGTTACCCACCCACCGTTACTTATGGATATAACAAGATTATGACTAGCACAACTGTTGTAATAATATGTAATATTTTAAGTGATATGAAAGTATTTGTAGTTTGTGGACGTATTGTATGATGTAAGATTTTGAAACAAGCTGCTAAATCTTCAGTACGTCCCGGCTCTACAAGAGGAAAAACTTTTTATTATTGACATTTGGAGGAAAATGTATTCTTCATAAAAAAAATTATTGATATAAAATGGTTAATCCTGTTTATACTTTTTCAAATTTCTATACCTTTTTATAAAAAAAAAACAGAAAATATAGTTGAATTTTTTCGGCCAATAATTTTCCCGTAACTATTATCACTCTTTCCGTAGCATTGAAGTAAATAAATGAACTTCTTTAACATTTTAAAGCAGCAAAAAATAAGACGTTAATTAAAATTCTATCAATAACAATTATAATGACGTTAGTCTATGATAATAATCTATAAAAGAATGAAAACTATTATGAAAACCAAATAAAAACTATGGAATGAAAACGAAATTATATTACCATACAAACGCGTTATAATTTCAAGGACTTTGAAGAAATTCAATTATATTTTCATGTTTTTTTAATTTTCTCTAAAACGGTAGAAAGGTTTAGAAAAGTAGAAACAGGATTATCAATTGGAGAACAAGCAAAAATTTTATGAAGATGTATTTTTCTCAAAATGTTAATAATAAAAAAGTTGTTAATCTCTTCAGGTATGTTAGTAGGCTTTGACTGATTTTTGTGCCAACAGTTCTACCGATATACAGGGAGCCTTGCAATGTAGTGTTTTTTCACGTAATTTCAAAATGCCCTGTAGAGTAACCCGATTAGTTTAATAACTCCCAATAAAAACTATTTTTTTAGCGCCATCTTTTAGCAACATTTTGTTTTTTTAATTACCCTTTTATCTTTATTATTAATGAAAATATGCTGATTTTTGTGGATATGGGCTCTTACGTATTTGTTGGTAGTTTGTTATTCAGTTCGAATCCGTACGCGTTTAAAAAGAAATATACTTATATTAGGCATGTGTCAAAAGTGACTGTGAGTCTCTGAGTGTACCTTAATTATGAATAAAAATCGTTTTTTAAATGAATCTCAATGTACTGTATATAGTGGTTGCGCTTTCACAAGAAGGCATAAATCATATGAGCTAGCTTAGCGATTTGGAGTTTCACAAGCTACCATATCCCGAGTGTTACAGCGCTTTGTGCAAACTGGAAATAACACTCGACAAGTAGGTCTGGGTCGTCGTCGAATTACAGATCCAAGACAAGCCCGATATATTCGTCTTCAAGCGTTAAGACGGAGATTTACAAGCAGTAGAGTGATTATCGAGATTTCTTACACTGTTATAACTTTCATCAGTCAAAGTACTATAACGAGAAGACTAGCAGAAAATCAAATAAAGACCTTATAAAGCAGCAACCGGACCTTTACTTACAAGGAATCACCGAAGACAACGCTTGCTGTTTGCCCGTGAGCACGTCAATTGGCAAGCTAGAGAATGGGCAAAAGTGATATTTTGTCAAAAAAAAAAGTGTCAAATTGGTTTGACAATGACGATTATTTCCACATAATTTGTCACTGAAAATGACTGCAATCTCCATTTCAATGCCAATTCTGATGCCGTTTTTTTTATCGTATGGTAGGTACCTATTAAATGTTAGATTATATTACATAAAATAAATACGCAATACAGTCAGTATTAATGCACTTTAATTCTATTAATGCAAATTGGCTTCATAAACTAACTATCTAATTGACAATTACCTATTTGGTTAATCCTTTCGACAGGTAAAAGAGTGAAAAGTAATAAAACTAATGAATTTATATAACTCTTATATATTTGTTTATTGTTATTTCAACACAACACAACATTTCACATGACAATTTACTAATTTGGTACGAACTTTTTTCGTGCCATAAAAGCCACCTTCTGGGCCTTTTGCACAACATCTGGACAATTCTTGCGCCTCTTCAAATTACACTCTTGAAAGAAGCCCTCGTTGCGCGGAAAACCATGTGTGTTGTCAGAGAATGTTGTTAAACCTATGGAATTAAATGTACAAGGTAATCGCGTTACACTTTAGCCATCTCTGTAACTATTATCTCATGTAACGCCAAGTCAGTTTATATTATTTAGTCTCTCTTGGAGCACCTATTCAACAATTTTGTTCTATATTATTAATATCAATATTAGTCATCTTTATTTCTGTAATAATTATAATGATTTGGCAAATGCACAGCACCATAATAATTATAAAAGAATAATCTACCATCGCGATTACTAAGTAAATGAAGATGACTAATATATGAGTAAAATAAAGATAACTAATATTGATAGGTACTAACAATTTATAACAAAACTAGTTGAAGCCTGGCGTATCCGCCACGACATCAGAAAAAAAAAATCCTTTTTTTTTATTAAATAAAAAACAAAAAAATCCCGAGATGGCAGTTTTTAGAAGAGCCAATTAGCTATCTTTTAGTAAAAAAGTAACTTTCTAGAGCAAGTCGTTACTTCAGTAGAGACGACGCAGATAAACATTAGCATTTTATATATGTAGATTGTTGAATAGGTGCTTAAAAAGAGACTAAATAAAACAAATTGACTTGGTTTTACATGAAATATCACAACTTTTTATAGCGGAGGAATTGTATTGCGAGACTTGGCATTTTTTTACATTTTATGTTTTTGATGGGATGTTATTTGTTATTAAGCAGTTAGGGAGTTAGCAAGTAGGGAGATTCCTCACGTAACTTATATTACGTGACGAATCTCCCCACGAGAGTTGGCACATGTTTTTTGAAGCGCCTTGTATATGAAAGAAACAGATAGTCCAGATTTTACTAGAATGTTTTTAGCCGCCCAGATTATTCCATTTTATGTCCTTGATGCGTTTATTTTATTATTGTTTATTATAGTTGTTTATACAGGGTGTTTCAAAAAAAAACAAGGGTTATCACTCGTGGGGAGATTCCTCACGTAAAAATAGGATTTATTTTTTATATCAACATAAGTTCCCATTTTGCTTTGTTTAGTAGCTACAGAGTGTTATCTTAATATTGTTTTGAATTCTTATAATTTTCTTCCAGTTACTTTTAGCGATTCAAATGAAATTTTGATAGTAAAAGTTACTATAAATACGACATATTTTAAAGCTAAAAAAGTGTCGACAAATATGTCGACACCTGGTTAATAAACCAGAGACGTGCATATGAGTTATCACTGGAATATTTTTCTAAAAAAGAAATGTACGCCAATGACTTTTTTCTCTTGTTAGCGAAATGGTACAAGCAGTTTAATGCCGATTAAAAGTTGTGTCTTGATATTTTGTCGATTTCGGCCTTTTTGTGAGATAAAAAGAAAAAAGAAAAAAAAATTCTACGTAAAAAAGTGGTTTTGACATGGTTTTCGATTCCAAACCAAGAGTTACAGCGATTTGTTAAAAATTCACATTTTTTGAAAAACACCCCGTACCTCTTAAATAGCAACATATATCGATGTGCGGTTTTTAGCGTCATGTTTTTGATAAAAATTGAACTCCAGACACCTATATTTTTTATCTCTTATAGAAAAGGAAGTTTTTCTTTAATAGTATACAATTTGGCCCACCGTGTGCAAGTTATAACTCAGGGGTTAATTTAAAAATTACCGAAACCATAGATCTGTCCACCACGAAATTCACCTTCATGACGGGTAGTGTCTGATCTCCAAAACACTCCGTATCCGTGAAACCAGCCTTGATAAAACTCTCCCTCGTATCTAAAAATATTATAAATAATAATAATAACAAATATCGTATGATGGCTTGGCTTGGAAATCACATCAATGACATTTCCTATACAGGGTGTGTCTTAAATAAGGGCAAATATTTTGAGGGCTGGTGGATATCGATTAAAGAAATATATTTTCTCTTTGTCGTTTTTCAAATAAGTCCAAAATAACCGAGTTATTTTATTTTGAAAATTTCCAAAAAAAATAAAATATACGTGTTTTAACCGTTTTTTTGGAAACTTGGTCGTTTTTTAAATAAAAGATATTGTAATATATGAGGGGTGGTTTCCCCTCTTGAAACTGGAATTTTGAAAAATCCTTTCTTATCGAACCTCTACACCCTAGAATCAACCTGTATGCCAAAATTGAGCTTCTTACGTTTACTCTTGGTTTGAGCAGGATCGTGATTAATCAGTATGTCAGTCACTTAAGGATTTTATATTGTCTGACTAATATTAGTATAGAAGTCCGATTCTGGTTTGTTTCGTAGCTACAGGGTGTTAAAGTCTTTTAGTTTATAGTAAAAGTTACAATAAGCGTTACAAATCTTAATGCTAAAAAAGTGTCAATACATTCATCAGGGACATATGGGTTATCACTGGAATATTTGAAGAAATTTTTATTTTTATTAATTTAATTTTAATATTATTTATAAAAAAAATGACTTCAGACTTAAGAGACTTAAGTCTTTTAAAACTGACTTATTGCAGCTCTGGTGTTGATTTATAAAACAAATTTGAATAAAAATGCTTTGAGATATAAAATACAGGAAGTTCTATTTTTAAATCATGGAGTGTAGATTATAGAGATTTTTCCTCTACACTCCATAGTGTAGAGGAAGAGTTTATACCAAACAATTTAATTTGTTTTTGTATTTTCTTTTGTAAATTTACTAAATTTAAATATTAAGAAAAATATGATGTTGATTTGATTATGATTAAAATTACAGGGCTGATTTTTTTACTTGCCTGGATGAATCTGAAAATGTTAGAACACCCAAACCATTATACAAGCCTTCTTCAAAACACCCATCGTATTTAGTTCCATCTGGAAGAAGCAACTGACCTTCTCCATGCATCTGTCCATTTTTATTCCAGGAACCTACATAAATGGCCCCATTATCGAATCTGTTTCCCCCAGTTGCGAACACAGGCACTAAAATACACATAATAAAATTTCCAAACTATAATTACATATTTACAAATTTACAAACGGTCTCATCCATCGCAAAATATTCTATATACTAAACTGTATTAATTAAAAAAGAATTTAATGCCTAATTTAATTAGTGTATTTTTCTCTAATCCTATTTGCTTTGGCCTAAATATTATATTTTGTATTACTTAAGTATAATTTTATATTTTTATAAAAAGATTAAATTAATTCTTAATGTTTTAATTCAAGTGAATATTAAAATTTAAACTATGTATTCTGTTCATTTTATTACTTCTTTATTTAAAAGAATACTACAGTGTAGCGCGGTTGAATATACGAGAAGGGAAAGATGTAGAAACAAAATATTTTATGGGTATATGTGGGGAGGCAATCTGCACAATTTAAAATTATTTTGAAATATACAAGGTGTCTCAGAACTAAGATCCATTTTTATCCAAAGTTATATTTTTTCTTATGGAACACTCGGTATTTTATTTTATTTTTTGATTCTTAGGCCTAAAAAAAGGCATTTATTATAAGGGTTAAATGTTTAAAATTTTTGGTTATTGAGATATTTTAATATATTTAAGTATGCATGCTACAAAAGAGTTGATTAATTTTTCATAAAAAACAGTAAATTTTCAGAGAAAATGTAATTTTTCAAGAAAATTGTAAATTTTCAGAAAACTGTAAATATTCAGAAAAAGTGTAATTTTTCAAGAATATTATAATTTTTCAGAAAAAGTGTAAATTTTCAGAGAAAATGTAATTTTTCAAGAATATTATAATTTTTCAGAAAAAGTGTATTTTTTTCAGAGAAAGTGTAATTTTTCAAGAAAATTGTAAATTTTCAGAAAAATGTAAATTTTCAGAAAAATGTAAATTTTCAGGAAGTGTAATTTTTCAAGAAAATTGTAAATTTTCAGAAAACTATAAAATTTCAGAAAAAGTGTAATTTTGCAAGAATATTATAATTTTTCAGAAAACAAAAGTGTAAATTTACACTATTTCTGAAAAATTGCACTTTTTATGAAAAATTACACTTTTCCTGAAAGTTTACACTTTTTTTTTAAAAATTTTACTTTTTCTGAAAATTTACACTTTTTCTGTAAATTTACAGTTTTTCTGAAAAATTACACTATATTTAAATATTTACATTAATTTTGAAAAATTACACATTTTCCGAAAATTTACACTTTTCAATCTATTTTTTTTTAATTATAAAAATGTAAAAAAACGTAATTATTAGAAACAGTATAATTTTTCAAAAAAAACGTAATTTTACAGGAAAATTGTAAATTTTCAGAAAAAGTGTAAATTTTTAGAAATAGTGTAATTTTTCAGAAAAAGTGTAAATTTACAGAAAAAGTGTAAATTTACAGAAAAAGTGTAAATTTTCAGAAAAAGTGAAATTTTTCAAAAAAATTATAAACTTTCAAGAAAAGTGTAATTTTTCATAAAAAGTTGCAATTTTTCAGAAAAAAATGTAAATTTACAGAAAAAGTGTAAATTTTGAGAAAAAGTGAAATTTTTCAAAAAT